GTCAGAGGCCGCAAAGGCACGACTCGGTCCAGTGCTGCGGCGGCAGTTGTCTCCCAAGCCGCCGCCTGATTTTCCGCCGAGTCGTGGACCAGATCCTCCGGATATGGCCCAAGCTCCGTCAGGAACCTCTCAGGGTCCATCAGTCGCCTGGGACGGAACCATCTAGGCGGTTCCGTCTCCCTGCGGCGAGGGGGAGCTGAAATACAGATAACTGAGAATGCACTTGAAATACTACACCTCATGTTTCCCAACAATAATCTAATATGACCTCAGATAAAAGACCTATCCCCATTGTTTATTTCTTGACTTCATTCAATTTAGGTACCAAACCAACCATGGGCAACTCAACCAGTCCTGGGCAATTCATACTATAGCAAAACAAGATGAAAACACACCGTACAAATACATAGACAAATGGATCTGTGCAAATTACAAAAAATACATACAACTTGCATTGACTAACCCTAAAACTTTCAGGGTTGTTGTTAGTCTGGAAAATAATAATAATAATGATAACAGCAGCAGCAGCAGCAGCAGCAGCAGCAGCAGCAGCAGCAGTAGTAGTAGTAGTAATAAAAAGCCTGAGAAGAAAGCCATAGTAACCTAATTCCATATTGTTGTGAACAGTATAGGACCAAGAAATCTTAGAGCACACTTTCTTGAACTAAATACTGGCTGTTCAGCCTGGGTAAATAGGGAGGACTATTCCCTATTATATGGAAGATTCCATCCTAGTATGAGGTTCAACAGGAAAAAATTGAGGCAGACATTCTTGGGGGCTCTTCCCTTCTTTTGGATTATCTGTTCCCTGATGCAAGGATGAAACACACACACACTCTTAGGGCCTGCAAGAGAATAATTAAAATTTGGCTTTTCCAAGACCTGTTTGGTAATTAAGCAATCAGAGGAAGGTTTGTGCCAATATTATTTCTCACTAGCTATACCCAGCCACGCGTTGCTGTGGCTCAGACAGGTTAAATGTTTTTACCTGTCACAGGTGTGACATCTATATAATAGTAGGTATATAAAAACACGCGCGTATTCGAATGCAACATTGTGTCAAAATTTCAAAGCAATCGGTGAGGAACTTTCGGAGATTTAAGATTTTGAACAAACGAACATTTACATTTTTATTTATATAGATTATATCTGGTTTTATTGTTTTCTGTTCTACTATCCTTGTACTGTGTTTTGATGTCGTAAATGCCTACAGCCTCAGGAGTGAGATCATTTATAAATCTTATAAATACAACAAAACTTCATAGTCATATTCCTGGAATCATCATTGCTGAAAGGAGACTTTACATCTGCTCCCCCAAAAGGAAAAAGGGTGTGGATGTGGTAAAACTCATCCTGAAATGCTAGAAGGGATTCAGAGGAGGAATCTCAACAGTTTATTTTCTGGTAAATATGTTTTTGTATGTGGACACACATGTACACATGTGTGCACACTGACTCACACACATACATACCAAAAAACCTGGCTATGCCCACTGTCTTCCATTATGAGGTGTTTATATATTACTCCCAACATTTTAAGTGTGCCTTTTGGTCCTAAAAACCGAGGATGCCTTTTCTACAATATTATAACATGAAATAATTCAGGACATTACTGCTGTAAGTAGTATTATGTGATGATTTATAGGAAGAACATGTTACTAGTAAATGGTTAAAAAAATGGCATTTGGATCATATTGAGAGCTCATAAAGACAAGCCATGAAATTCTAGTTTGGCATTTCCCAGTGTTGCTAATTAATTATTCTGGAAGATGCATAGACTCAGGTGTTCTTCTTTTCCTCATTTAAAATTAGTTTATATTATTTAATAGACAGTTAACTTATGTATGAACTATTGGGCATCTTGAGAACATTGGAACTATTCTTGGAATAATTATAAATAAACTAGTTCAAAACATTTATCCAAACTGTACCTTAAAAGAGATGTTCCAACAATTCTTTTTAAACAATATTTGAATCAAATATAATAAATTGCTTAAGGATTTTTAGGTAATTGTGCTTACATTGATCAACATTCAACTTGTCTGGAAATAAATCAAAACTTTAAAAGAATAATAAATAAAAGGAAAGGCAGTCAAACTCAGAAGAGGAATGAATTAATGCACAAAGACAATAATATCAATAAGTTATAGGATGGCTACTGAAGCTGGAATTGATTATTGATTAGTATATTCTCACAACACATGGAATCATGAACTAGCCATATATGTTAGTTTAGCATTTGGTTATGTGAATTGAGTCTTGTGGTTACAACTGGCCCTGTGGTGCAGCTGGAATAACCTAGAGCTAAACATGCTTAAAACTGTAGAGATGAGAGTGGATTTCAGGAGGAACTTTCTATTCTACCATCTCTTACTATATCAGAAAGCACAATATCAGCAATAAAGTCCTTCAAGTTTCTGGGTTCTATAATCTCCCAGGATTTGAAATGGACACCCAACAATAGAACCATCATTAAAATGGCATAACAAAAAATGTTCTTCCTGTGTCAGTTCAGGAAACTCAGACTGCCCCTGCAGCTGTTGACACAGTTTTACTGAGGAATTATTGAGTCTGTCATTTGTACTTCTATAACTGTCTGGTTTGGTACAGCAACCAAACAGGATAGGTACAGACTCCAACTGATACCTTAGGACTGCAGAAATAACAATTGCAACCAGCCAGCCTTCCATAGAAAATCTGTATATTGTGCGGGTCAGAAGAAGGGCTGAGAAAATATCTACAGACCCCTCACATCCTGGACATAATCTGTTTCAACTCATTTCCTCAGGATGCCACTATAGGGCATTGCATGCTAAAACAACTAGACAACAGGCAGTTTTTCCCCTCATGCCATCACTCTGCTGAACACCTCTCACAGCATTGTCTACTGTCTATATATACTGTATTTATCCATGTTGTACAGCTGTATTATTACTGTTACCCTTCTAATCTTCTTTACTACCCCCCTTATTTATTTATTTATTTATTTATTATTATTATTATTATTATTATTATTATTATGCTTTGCATGTACACTGAGAGACAAATTCCTTGTATGTTTAATCATACAGCCAAATAAATTCTTCTCTTCTCTTCTCTTCTCTTCTCTTCTCTTCTCTTCTCTTCTCTTCTCTTCTCTTCTCTTCTCTTCTCTTCTCTTCTCTTCTCTTCTCTTCTCTTCCATTCCTATTCCTATTCCTATTTTTATTCTAGTATGTTATCTGAACTGCAAAAATTGAATTGAATATACAATGCAACAAATAAATGAGATATATAAATAAAGTCAATATCTGATACGGGAGTATATGTTAAAGCAAGTGATATGAGTGAGTATATATTAAAGCAACAAAAATCTAAGCATTAAAAGAAAAAACATTTTTCCTAATTTTTTTCCTAATTGAAATGACCATAAAAAAAATAGAAACCATGTGTGCTGAAATGTATAAGATAAACAACCATTTTACACCAGTCACAAAAGGCAAAATAAATGTCCTTCAAGTATTAAGAAAGTTTCCTTGGCAATTAAATCCTCAAATGAAAAATAAGTGAATACCTTTTATAATCAGCATAGTATTTTTCATTAAACCCATTGTGCAGGTATTTTCTCAAAACAAAAGAAAAAAAATCAACATACCACAAAATGAAATAGTTGCCAGCCTGCTTCTTTCCAGCGGAGGAGCCCATTTACTCCACATCCCATGGCATGCTGGATAAGTCACCCCCTAGCAAATTTTGCACAGCGTTAAATTTTTGCATTTAAAATTTTCCTTTATGCTCACATTTTTATTACTTGCAAGTAACTGGACTTTTTACTGTTTTAGACAGGAATCGTCTGCAAAAGGAAGACATCTCACTTAACATAAAGGGAATAACTTGAAATGTGTGCGAGCGTGCATGTGTGTATACTTACACACATTATAATTTGTATATAATACAGTACAGAAAGGAAATAATGATTCACTGTGTAGAATTCTGTTAGAATTTTGGTTCCCCTATTTGCACAATACCTATATTTCCTCAAATGTAAATATCACAAACCAATATCTGTGAAGATATTTTATTAAAGTCCTGCCCCAGACACGAAGCTTTGTTTTAATAGTTTTAAGAATGGAAAGGATTTGAAGGATCCAGCTATTTCAAATACTGATTTTCTTCAATAGGAACCTGCTTGTTATTTGTTGAAGCTGAAATTATTAGTTGAAATTCCATGTCATATTTTCTCATCTTTCAGAGTTTACATGGCTGCAAATTAAACTTTAATTCATTTTGTTTTTTGGAATTTTACTATAATAGCATATTTCCAGAGGCCTCTGCCAGCTCAGATGCTTTAGTCAAAATGATGAAGCCACCATTGTGCTGTTGTGACATGAGTTTCCTCTTCTCTGTGTGTGACATCACAATGTGTTTACAAAGGAGATGGCACTTGCTCTCATTTGCTCTCCCTCTTGATACCCACCATAATGGAACTGCAAGTTCCCCTCCTGTTCTTTATGTCACCAAGCTTTCAAATATCAAGCATTTTTTTATAGCTTGAAGTGATATCCTTTTAATACTTATTTGTTAGGTATACATCTTACTTTTGTCCCAAGAAGTCATGTGGACTACATAGCTCTTTTTCTTCCACCCCTTTCCCCTGTTTGGACTGAGAGAAATTAATTGGTCCAAAGTCACCCAAGAAGTTTCCATGACGAACGATAAGCTTGAATTTGAATCTTCCCACTCTTAGTCTAATACTTTAATCATTGCAACAGATTGCCTTTTGGTGGAAGGAATACAGAATCCAACCCTAAATACACTTAAGGAGCTAGGTATATACCGTACTTATTAAGATCAGTGATATTTACTTTAAAAGTTAACAATATGGGAATAATTCTACTTCAAGAATTATCAGGCTCACTGATGTAAATTAACTAATATCCCCCCCCCTTACCCCAATTGACTTAATTAACAGTAGACAGTTGGAAGTTTGGAGTAACTAAGAGATTCAATTTTAACACAGTTGCAAAAAAATTACTTGCCCTGGAATGATGCAAACATTATTTTAATTTTTGTATTGCTTACATGCAATTAATGAAAACTTAATAACGGTTGCAAATAAACGTCTGCATTGGTACTTACCTCCACAAGGCCTTGTAAAATTCTTACAAACATAACACACCCATAATGTACTCTGGCAGCTGCAGGAATGAACATGTTTAAAGTTGAAGTTAGGAAAATTGCTGCTCCAAATACCCTAAAAAAAGGAGAAATATAATTTTCCCCTACAATTTCATATCAATCAATCAATCAATCAATCAGAATAGAGCTGAAAGGGACCTTGGATGTCTTTTAGTCCAGCCCCTTGCTCAAGCAGGAGACAAGTGGCTGTCCAGTCTCTTCTTTAAAATCTCGTGTGAAGGTTTATCATGACATCATATTACCATGATGCCATGATACTATATACTAAGCTGAGGAAATCTGGCCTGAACAAAAGTTCAAAATTATCCAGAGATCATTTTTTTAAAAGGACAAACTAATCTTTCATTGAAGACTTTATATTCTAGAATTACACATAGCCAGCTAATACAACTGAGCAATTTAGCTGAGCACAAACTAAAATATATGATATTTATAGTTCTTTGTGCTGTGAACATTTTTATAAATGTTACTCTCAAATATTCAATATTAAAAAACTTTTTAGTCCACAGCTTTCTCTACTAAGTTCTTCTGAAATTAACATCATTATTTTTATTTCAGAACACAAATCTGACAAGCTTTCATTAACAGCAATAACTATCAGAGAAACTACTAGTAGTTGTAGTTTTACAGTAATAAACTATTTTTGTGCCTCATTATAGTAAATAAAGATTAATATTAACTATTGATCCTCAAGCTGCCATACTATGTCCATTTCCTCACAATGTCCCACTAAGCAGCATGGAAATAATGATTTTAAAAAATGTTGTTACTGTTTGAAATTATATCAATACATTTTTAGAATAGAATAAAACAGAATAGAACAGAATATTCTTTATTGACCAAGTGTGATTGGATACACAAAGAATTTGTCTCCGGTGCATAAGCTCTCAATTTGCACACAAACAACAAAGTAATACAATCATAAAGTACCAATAGGATAAAGTAGTAGAAAAGATGAAAAAGATAATAGTAGTACAGCCATACTGCATGGCTAATACTACATGTCATTTAAATCCACAAATGATTTTAACATTTTTGTTAAAAATGTTGAGTTCTAGAAAACTAATACTATTTTTGTACATATTTTTGTACATATTGTGTGTTTTTCTAAATTCTGCATTGCATTATATTATGTTAATATATTACCTGTTTGCTGCTAGTTTATTTGCAATGAAGCCTCCTGGAATTTGTGTAACAATATAGCCCCAAAAAAATGATCCATGAATGAGTCCTACTATTTCTGGATCCCAGCTGAATTGCGCTTTCTACAAATAAAACAATATTAAATAGTAACACATATCCAGCATCTTGATGTTTGTAAAAAATATTTTACTGCAAAATCCAGATATTGCAGTAATCATTAACCAATATTTGTGGATTTTTAATCCTCCAAGAGCTGTAAAGCAAACTTATTTGATGGCAGAGGAAAATTTTGTGAGTTCTTTTTTATTAATTAAACTGTACTTAAATTATATATAATATGTTTAGAGTATTAAATAAATGTGTTTAATTAATTAATCAGCTCGTATGCTCTCAAATTGATGGACTACACAAATTTCATTTTACATCTGAATGTTTGAAAGTCCTTGCTGATATACTTACTGTCCCCAATCATATTTCAAACACAAGAAAGAAAAATATTTGGGGCATTTTTATTGCAGCTATTCACCTATCTGATTAGCCAAATTAAATAATTCCTTTGTTCTAAATACAGGTATCTTCCCCAGTTATGCTACGGTTGTCCTTGATTTAGTACATTTCTTGTTAATGTATCTTCACTCAGACTGTAATTTGCAGAATATTTTAAGGGCACCTTTCATCTGAGATCAGGAGACATTACAATAAAGCACATATTGGTTTATTGACTGAACTTGCTTAGGCAAAGCAAGCCTAAAAAGGGGGTGGGGATACAGTCCCTCTTTATAGATGTATGTACATTGGAACATATCCAGGTATTTCACTGTATATAACACATCATGCACTTAGTGAAGACAGTGGGACCTGTCAGGTGATATGGCAGTACAATGGGGTTTTGAAAGAACAAGAAGGCAGTTATTCCAGGACCATAATTTCTTTACAGGGTGTTACTTTCTTTCATTTTCCAGAGTTCTCCTTTTCCCAGGATCTTTTCCCAGAGTGTCAGGACCTCTTGGCTTTCTAAACTATTGGCTGAGCTAATAGTTTTAGTTTTCCAGAGAAGACATAATATGTTTAGAGCAGTGATGGCGAACCTTTTAGAGACTGAGTGCCCAAAAACAGCCCCCGCCCCCACTCCGCCTCCCGCCCTGCCTGCTCTGCCCCCGCCCGCCCCCTGCCTTGCCCACCCGCAGGGCCACACACTGCCTCCATGGCCTGCTGCAGCAGATCGCCCAGGCAGCCCTGCAGTGCCATGGTAGCCACACCCTCTGCCCACACCCCACAGCAGCTTCTGCATGCTATAGGACTGAGGGCGGAGTCTTGTCCCTGCTGCCTGGCTATGTCCTTGGCTGCGCTGCTCCGTGCGGGCCGCGCCCAGGGGCGACTCTCCTCCAGGGGGATGCTGGTGAGGAGGGGGCCGTGGGGGGAGGCTGGGCTGGGGCGATGGCGCATGTGCCCACAGAGAGGGCTCCGAGTGTCACCTCTGGCACGCGTGCCATAGGTTCGCCACCACTGGTTTAGAGGCTTTTAATTTGGCCCCAAGAATTCTCCCTCAATTCAGTGATATTGCTTTTGGTTTAAATCTCCATTTTTACTGTGCAGTAAGTGTTTTATGAAGCTCTTTGTTCCATCTAGGACTATTTACATCTGTCAGCCTGATCTACTTCACAGGGTTATTATAAAACCTGTGAGTATTGGCATATGAGGAGAAATATATACTCCACCTTGAGTTCCTTGGAGGAAAAACAGGTTGTACATCTAATGAAGTATCACTATTGGAGTTAAAATACAGTATAATGTTTCATAAATGCCACTAAATGTTTAATAGAAAGCCCATCTGGTATAGTAGTGAAGGAATTAGGCTAGAAACTAGGAGACCATGAGTTCTAGTTCCATCTTAGGCCTAGCCACTCTCTCTCAGCCTTAGGAAGGAGGCAATAGCAAGCCACTTCTGAAAAACTTTGCCAAGAAAACTGCAGGGATTGTCCAGGCAGTTGTCAGAAGACAATACTGACTGGGAGGCACACAGGCTTACAGACATGCACATAGACAAGCTTTAATATCACCGTGTCTCTCAATAGTACAAGTAGAAATCAGTTTCTAGTAAGAGGAATAAACCTAGTACAATATATATTTCGTGAGCCAAAGTTTCTGTTGAGACTTTGGAGAACTGATCTATCTGAGTGGAACAGTTTGTTCTATATCAATTACAAAGACCCTAATTAGCTTATACTATCTGAATATCTGCTAATTCCAGTGTCTATTGGAAAAAATGAAAAAAAATAAATAAAGATAATAAACTTTTTAATCTGATCTCTTCTAGAGTATTATAAGATATTATTTTTCTGTGTTAAAATAATATATCCTTCTACTTACCTCAGTCTCTGGTTTTCCATTGATGTAAACTGTGTTGTTATTAACCATTTCCACAATAGCAACACCAAGATTGCATCGAATTCCAAAAGAAATGCAAAATCCCAGACCACTCATCATAGCAATAATATAACGTTTAGGTAATCCACAGCAATAGCAATCAAATAAAGGTGGTTTAGTTGTTGCTTGCACGGGTCTTCCCTCTTCATTCAGCTCTATGGCATCTCTTTCAAAGTTGGTTCCATCGATTTTTCTAAAGTCATGCAAAACAGAGACAAGGTGTGTTCAGAGAAAAATATACTCTCAGAAGTTACTGATACACACTCAAAATAACTAAATAATGAAATGCTTTTGTTACATTCCCACTTCTTAATAAATTACGTTTAAATAGCATGGAAAGAAAGAAGGAGCCAGCTTTTACAGAGTACCCATTTGCAATCTGATGTCTTATGTTGTAGCCATAGTTTCCCAAAGTACTGAAACTGTAACTCATCATCTCTGGATGACTCATAGAATATTCTGGAAAGCTAATATAGTGACAGTAGCATTTCTGATGAGGCAGCTGCAAATCTAGTTCATCAACCATCAGGGAGACAGTCACAGAATAAAACCTGCAGTGTTAGAGAGTGAGTCCTAAGTGTACCATTTACAGTATTTTGTTTAAAAATGTATTTTAATGTGATATTACTAAAAACATGGATTGGGAATCTGTTGTGTTGCCCCCCCCCCCAATTTGTTGCTGAATATAGAAATTATAGACTCTTCTAAGGTTTGCTGTTCAGCAATAACTTGCCTTTGCTTTGCAGAACTTTATTTAGAGGTGCCTTAAGCAACTTGTTATAGAATAAAAGACAATATAGATCTCATTAGCAAATCTATTATTTGAAAGTATGTTTGATTCTCAGCTGTCTTGGGAACTCTCATATAACTTTGATGAGGGTTGTATTCTCTGTAACTCTCATAAAGCTAGTCAGATTTGGCTATTGCTATATTGTCAAAAAACCTGACAGTTCTTAAACTATTAAAATTCTAGAAAGAACTGTATTTCTTACACACCATTAAGAATTACATTAGAACAATAGTTTAAATTAGAGGATATACTTGAGTAAAATAATACAATAAATGTGTATTTGTATTCTGAACATCTTAAGTGGTACCTTGGTTTTTGTATTGGATTATATTTAACTATATTTTCTGCTTTGTTTATAAAAGTTTTCATACTGTTTTTCTTCTGAGCTGGTTTCTTAGCTGCCTAGAGATATGTATTTAATATGGCTAGCCAATTAATTTTTCTAAATAAATAAATAAAGAATGCAAAGCCATAAGAGGGTTCAGAACCAAACCCAGAGGAGAGCAAGAAGGGCAAATGATAAAATATGAGTTCATAGTTATCACTATGAAAAGCCCATGATTAAGGACACAAGTTAGGACACAAGTACAACTTGTGATATCATAGTACATGTTTGTTTTTTGTCATTTCAGTTTGTACCAGACACTTGTATAGGTTTTCAAGAACAGAGTGTGGTGGATATTTCATACAGAGATTTTCCATTTTAGGAAAGGAAAAGTGTATTCCATTAAAGTGAGTATATTACTAATGGACAAAAACTTCTCACAGCGTGTGTATTTGCATGCTGTTTTCTATTTATTTCAGGAGAGTAAAAATATATTAACCACGATATCTTTTTACTTTGACATATTACTTATGTTTAAAGTAAAACAATAAAATACCATATCATCGCCAGCAGTAATTCTTAAAATAATAAATATCATTTGAAATAATTACAAGCTTTTTATCTGCTTTACATCCAAAGGAATTGCTATAGGAAAATGAATGGATATCCTTCCAAGCACAGTGTTATGTGCATGGACATTTAATGTAAATTCACACAGCATCATAAATAAAATAACAGAATAACAGAGTTGGAAAGGATCTTGGAGGTCTTTTCTCACCATTACATTTCATTTTGTTAGATGGGACCCAGTGTTCAAGTCTCTTGAGATCCTTCTGGATCTTGAGCCTATCTTGAGTTTTAGCTATTCCTGCCAGCCTGGTGTCATCTGCAAAGTTCTACCTTCTACCTCTCATCTAAACCATTTATGAATATGTTGAAGAGTACTGAGTCCACTACATACTCCCCTCCATGTAGATGTATGAAACACTTTGTTTCACACAATAATCCCTAAATATCTGCTCTTTACCATACATATTTTAAACAGTTTTTCTGTTCAGACAAATTCTTATTGTCTCAAGTGGTAAATCTATGGGATTTTCCATGCTGTCCTGTTTAAGCACTAAACAGTTCTAATCCTTTGTAGTTATTCCTGCTTAGTTAATGTCATCTGGTTGCTGCCCCATAACAGGGTCTTCAATAATCTTAATGAAATCTGGGTCCAACAGAAAAAAGGCCAGGGAAAAAAAAGACTGAGAACGCAACAACTGACAGAATATTTATATTACTAGCCAGTTAAGCTGAAGCCTTCTGGAACCTAAGCTTAACATTAGCCATGTGGTACCTAATATTCTCATCAAAAAAGCTTTTGCACATACTTCATTCCTGGATGCTTCAGCTAAAAACAACCTTGCTGAGGTATCATACAACTGCAGTTGTAAGGCTTGCATCATGTAGGACAGTCATGGAAGATCTACTGGCTTGGATGCTTTGCAAATTCATCATCCCTTTTTTCAAATCATGATTCCATAGACAACTTCCTGATTTAAAAAAAAATCTTATATTCTAGTTTAGGAGGGCAATATAACTGGTTATATTACACTCATCTTTAATTTGCTATACTATGTGAATGTAATATGTATAGCATAGTATAGTATGTATAGTGGTACAGTAGAAAAATTTACATTCTGAGTAGATGGTCATATATTGTTATTATATATACTATTTACATATTAGCCAAGGTAGCGCAGTGATTAGAATGCAGTACTGCAGGCTAATTCATTGCTCACTCCAGGAGTTCGATCCCAAATGGCTCAAGATTGACTCAGCCTTCCATCCTTCTGAAGTCAGAAAAATGAGGACCCAAATTGTTGGGGGCAATATACTGACTCTGTAAACTGCTTAGAGAGGGCTGTAATGCACTATGAAGTGATATATAAATCTAAGTGCTATTACTATTGCTATTAGTACTTATTCAGTATTACTACAATATATTACTTTGAAAGAATAGAAACACATACCCACACCATTTGATTTATGAAAAAATTAAAGAATTAAAAATAATAAAATGAGCATAAATGTGTACATGGAAATGTGTACATTTCCAAGATTCATCCCTGATTATTGATGATAGGACTGTTTCATCCTGTCACCATCAGTAGCCATTTCTGCTTCATCACACAAGGAACTTCTCAGCTTTAGAGGCCAGAATTTACAGTCCTAATTGCCCTACTAGATATCTTTTCTACTGTTGCCTACCAGTCAATGTCTAAATTCAATGCATCCCTTATGATAGGTTCAGTTCAAAAGTAAAAGGCAGGAAGGGACAGAAAGGAAGGGACAGAATAAAATAAGTAAATCCCAGTGTTCATTTATATATATATATATATATATATATATATATATATATATATATATATATATATATATATATATATATATATAT